GAACAGGATCATCCCGTCCAAGTCATCCAAAACTCTGCATTATAACAGACCATCCTGATGTGTGTGCGTGTGTGTGTGTGTGTGTGTGTGTGTGTGTGTGTGTGTGTGTGTGTGTGTGTGTGTGTGTGTGTGTGTGTGTGGGTGCTTTAGACTGGTTTTATATGCATGAGATTTGATGACGGTAATCAGGGTGGACAGCCGTGCGTAATGCCCTCAGCCCTTGTGACGGCTCTTCTCCTATCAGAGGACTGACCTATCACCTGACCAGCTGCCTCAGGGTGCCTGCAGGAATTAAAGGAACCAGGTAGGCCAGTTTTCCTCATAGACTTCAAATCAGATAGTGTATTTACTTTTCATGATGTAAATGTGAGGAAAACAACATGATAAGCCGGGCGGGGCACGTTGCATCGACAGCTTTGAAAATGGGAGAAAGAGGGGATGCAAACATAGTCCCCAGTTGGGAATCAAAACCAGGTTCGCCACAGCTGGGCCGGGGCCGCCCAATTCCAGACATTTTTCAACCTTATTTTTCAAAGATGTAATTCAAGATGTTTTAAGACTTCCTAAAGGCTCCATGGGGACCTCGCTGCTTCAACAGAGGCCAACAAAAGCTGGGCCGATCCATCCCAAAGAAGAGGTTATGCTGGCACCATTTATTACTGTTGTATTTTGAAGTAAGGAATACATTTTAATTATTAAACCTTGGTAATTTAAGCATGAAAAACATTACAATGTATGCATTTATGGTAATCATGACTTAAGGCAGAGTTTGTTCACATTTTTGAGACGAACTGTCACGGAGTCTCTGCCACTTGGTTTTATGGCAGAGGACTGGAACCAAGGAATGCCTTTGAAGTCCAACTCTTGATGGAACAATCAATGAAAAGAGGTGTGTGTGTGTTATCAGATGTTGTTTTCATCTTTAACACACCAACAACATCCTGTGGGTAGCACTCAATGTATGCGAAGAATAACAGAGGTCAAGAGATCTGAACTTCCATGTAGGCCTTTATCCTGCATGGGTCTTGTTTTCAAACCAGTTCCCACCCGGCACCCTCTAGGCTTGATGCAAGAACCAACATGTAGCTTCAATAATCTTGAAATGTATTCTGGATCCGACCCGACCATACACAGTTTAGGAGGTGGATCTAATGGTTTGTGAACCAAAGTGTTAAAGCCTTGAGTTTGGCTGTTAACATCTTCTTTATTTGGAACCGGAAGATTTTAATTAACTTTTATTTTTCTAAGTTAAAAACTATGTGAAAGAAACACAGAGAGAACCCACACATGACAACACCATGTCAGTGACCCGTCAATCACAAGGTAGCCCCGCCCTGAAGCATACGGCTCTTTATCACCTATTTCCATGGGAGCCTGCCTGCAGACCTCCTCTCTCAGGACAGTTCCGGTGCAGACCTCCACTCTCAGGACACCTCCACTGTCAGTACAGGAAGTGATGATTCTGACGCGTTTTTTTTCCCGCCCACCGAAGGACTCGTTTGATGGAAGTTTTCAAATCACAATGGAGGCTCATCACAGAGGTGATGAGTCCGCCCACCGTGCACTTTGGGTCGGCCTTGGTCAAGCCCTTTTGACCCCCCCGCTCAAATGACACCATGGAGGAATGTAACGGGAGTTGACAGGGGACTCTGCCCGCCTCACGAGTGCCTATTTTCCTATTTACTTTTTTCACTTTCCCCCGGTTTTATTATTTATTTATTTTTTGGCTATTTCACCCGGTTTCTACATATATTGTTGTGTCAGTACGATTTTATTTTGTATTTCCGTGCATTTCCTGTTCGGAAAGTGGCGCTGCGGCTGTACTGATAGTAACAACAATACAAGGTGTCCGTATATATCTATATATATATATACATATGTATATAATAAGTGTCACGATCCGTCACGAATCTCACGATCCGATTTTATTTTGTATTTGCGTGAATTTCTTGTTTGGAAAGTTGCACTGTACTGATAGTGGTGATTTTATTTTGGAATTCTTAGCGTGCACTTCCTGTCCTGAGAGTGGAGGTGTCCTGAGAGTGGAGGTCTGCAACGGAACTGTCCTGAGAGTGGAGGTCTGCAGGCAGACCCCTCTCCCTATTTCGCTCTCAATGGGACCATCATTTACAACATGAACATCACATTATGTTGAAGAGGACTTACAAGTAGCAGCATAATTAGAAAACACATTTACTGAGGTGATTAATTAAGGGAGAAGTAGTCTCATTTTCTCATAGACTTCTATACAATTTGGCTTCTTTTTGCAACTAGTGGAGTGGCCCCCTGCTGGCCATTAGAATGAATGCAGGTTTAAGTTCATCTTGCTTCACTTTTAAGTCCCTAAGATTGCCGCTTTGACTCGACCCTCACAGTAGCTGAGACAAACAACCAATAAACAGACGGCTGCTGCTGTGCACAAGGAAGAGTTCAGGACGCCAGTATGCTGTAGAGACACACTCAAGTGAGTTGAAATAAATAAATAAAAAACACAACATGGTTATGTGCAGATTGTGGAGGATTTCAAAGGCTTTGACGGTGAAGACAGAACTAAAGTAGCCCTTCAGAATGGCGTAGTATAAAATGTCTGTTCTGATGATGTTGCAGACCAAGGACATTGTTTACAAGATCCTTTTGGCAGTCACACTTGGCTCATGCACACAATTGTTGTGTTCATGGCAACCCAGCAGTCTGGTCTTGAATCAATGTATTCTGAATATATGCGTGTGAGTGTGACAGCATGATTGACAGCACTGTGCAGCATGGTCACATCTCATCTAAAGTGCTGTGTGCCTGATTACCGCTGGCAAAGCTGAGAAATGCAACAGCATCAATATGAAGTCTTAAATCATGTTTTATCTGTGAGTAAGAATTGATTCACAGTCACATTCACATGTGCTGAAACAAGCTAACAACGACCTGCCTCCCCTCCAGCAGCTGAAACCCTTCGCACCTCTCAGTCAGGCACATGCCGGGAATACTAATTCCTCACCATCAGGTGCACTTTGTGGCTCAGCAGCATTTAGAGTGTATAATATATGCTAATTAAATTTATACAACAGCCACTTTTGTGATATGAGGTGATGTAATCAGGATCGTAGCCAACGAGCTGCCTATCAGAGCTGAAACTGCTGGAGCATACACACATCCTCATTCTACACCAGTCCCATAGCGCTTATGCCTTCTGTGGAATAAGATACACCTGCTTCTAATTCATGTTGACTGGTTCCATATTCAAAATTGGTGTATGTTTATTGTTAGCCTGGGTCTCACTTGTTTCCCATAATAATTATACAATTTGTTTTAAGGGTCCTGTGGATATAATTGCAATATGTCAGGGATTCTCATTACTCAATTTAAAGTGGCTTATTTTATACCCAACCGTACCTCATTATTATCATCTCACTAGACAATCTGAGAGCCTTCTCTGCTGTAATGCTGAGAATAAGACGATGACAGAGTTCAGATATGACTGTACGAGATATAGTCCCTCATCTCTGAGGGTCGGAGACTGCAGTGAAGGTTAGAACAGATAAAGCCACAGATTCCCAACCTAACGGCTTCACTCTGCAGTCGGGATGCAGATAAGGATTATTTGTAATCTATCAAATATTAATTTAGTCTAAAGCTATGATGCATGTCCTATCTCTATCATTATCCAAAGTCACATATCACATTATGAACAAAATATACATTCCATTACAGTTTTGTCTTCTCAAGTTGTCTATCACAAATACGTTTTGTTTTTTTATATATTTAGGCGTTGCACTTTTTTAGGTCTTATAATCCCATTTATTTAATATTAATTTTACATATATCAAATTGCCATTGTTAGATGAATCACTAACTCTGACATTTTCATTGCCAGGAACTCCTTCTCTGTAATTATTGTGCAAATGACATATAATGTTGCTTATTAAAGCTTTAATTCATTCATTGATTATCCACTCACATGACTAATCGGTAACTATTCTGACAATTCACATTTCTGAATAGACCTTCATACGTTAATATGAGTACAATATTCGGTCCGAAAGTCTAATACAATATGTTCCTGTAGAGTGTAGACAGTGTAATGAGCTGCAGTCGAGGTAAAGTAACACAAAACAGGAATTTACCTTAAAAACTGAACCTAGAAAGATATTCACTTCATTTGTCTAACTGAAACATTTGAAAACGTGTCTGCTATCATAAAATCAACTAGTTAATTAAACTAGTTTATTGTAAATATTTCCTCTTTTTTTACAGAGTTTTCGTCTTCATCTCTTTAAGTTTTGGGTCTGTTGATTTCACACACTAGCAATATAAAGAACACTTTGGCTAAGGAATTAGTTTCTTACTATCAGGAAAGTGACCAAGTACATTTATTCTACTACTGCACTTAAGTACAATGTTGAGATACTTGTACTTTACTTCAGTATTTCCATTTTATACTACTTTCTTCTTCTACTCCACTACAGTTCAGAGGTAAATGGTGTACTTTTACTCCACTACATGTACTTAATAGCTTTAGTTACTTCACAGATCTGGATGAATGATGTGAAATCTAATCAAGTGTTGAATCAGACTTTAGTTCCACCTGGAGTAAATCCACCAGCTACCCTGCAGTATACAAAGTCATTCAGACTAGCTGCACCTTTACCAGCTTTGAGAACACTTTAATTATCAATCATTATAAAACATATCATATATATTATTCTGAAATGGACCAATCTGCACAATGACTACTTTGACATGTCGCTACTTTCACTATATTTTGATGAGAATACTTTTCTACTTTTACTTCAGGAACATTTTGAATGCAGGACTTTTACTTATAACAGAGTATTCCTACACTCTGGTACTTCTACTTTTTCTCAAGTACAAGATCTGAGTACTTCTCCTTTTACTCAAACACAAGATCAGAGTACTTCTACTTTTACTCAAGTACAATATCTGAGTATAGCCTACTTCTCCCACCTCTGTCTTACGGAGAATTTAAGAAGGGGAAAGTGCTTTACCTTCAGTGTCATGGATGTTTTGGAGGATGTCGTCAGTGTCCAAACGTTCCTCCATAGAAACAGCGTATGATTTGATGTTAAAGTCCGCCATCAGATGGTAGACCCCCTCCAGGGTGAAGTAGCAGTTGCGCTCCTGCTTGTCGTCCTCGAACAGCAGCAGCGCGCTCCTCCAGGTGAAGTGCTCGAACATCGCGGTGAACGTCTCTGCCATCTTCACGTAGGACGGGGCGATGCGGGTCAGCTGGGAGAATTCGGTGTTCTTGTTGCTGAAGCCGGCGGCCAGGGCACCTGCCGAGATCACCGGGATGTCCCAGTGCGACGCCAGCCGGACCACCGCGGCCGCCTCGTACTCACACACCGGACCCAGGATCAGATCCGGCTTCTGCCCGCACGACCTGTCCAGCAGCAGGAACAGAGCCCCATTCACACAGTCGGAGTTCTCAAAGTGTATGTTGAAGTGGATCCCGGAGTACTGCCCCCCCTCCGCCTGCAGCCGCTGCTGTGCGTAAAGGATGGCCGGTGCGACCCTCGCGTGTGAGAACGGGTAGGAGTTATTTTGTGGCAGAAACACCAACACGTCTATGTCCTCGGTGATGTTGTTTGTCTTAACTGGCCTCAGGACGATCAGAAAGTACACACACAGTGCGCCGAGGAATGGCATGGTGCCCCTCTCCAAGTCCCGCTGCAGGAAAGGACAAAGTGTTGGAGAGGTGTTCTTCAGATGTTTCTTTCCTCAAGTTTTTGGCAGTGCACATACAGCTGCACACAGAAAGCCCTCCGCCGGGAGTAAATGTCTTAATGGTAAATAACTGTGTATTAAAAAAGCGAATCTGCCTGAATGTGTGTGTTTTCTCTACATTGAGAGTTTCTTCGAAGGATCTTAACCTGCTCTAAATATTGTCCAGCAGAGCTCTGATCTGCCGGGTCGGCGGTCCAAACAGCTCAGCCTGCAGCTCCACACACGCTGGCTCCTGCCTGGAGTTTTGAAGCATCTTTCCAGGATTATTCCTGCGTCATCGAGCGCTGCCCACCTCCTTCTTAAAGCTACACCGTCGCCCGCTCACAATGAGCCACTTCAACACAGCCGGGTTAATGCACTTAATGGGAATTATGGTTCTGGGAGCCTGAAACAACAAACAGCACACAACGCTTCTCTCTGTGTTTTGAAGTGAAGTGCATGATGCACTTCGGCTGGTGCCACAGCCAACTCATGTCCATGTGTTAAACCAGCTGTGGTGCAAAGCAGGGACGGACTGGGGGGAAAAAGTGGCCCGGGAATTAATTGACTGACAGGCCCACTTAATGCGCGGCATGTATCGGCCGGCCTGCGACGAAAGTATGTTACTTAACAAAAAACCCTATGCATTTAATGTTATTTTGGACCATTATTCATATAGTAATCACATTACTTGAGCCCTTGAGTTGCCTAGAGCAAAATAGTTACAGCATATATTTAGTGATTTTAATGTTAACAGATCATTGATGCAATAACATTTTGACCCAATTTGCCTGACTTGACGCATGGAATAAAACATGGGCGTAGGAAGCATCCTCAATGTGGGTGAGACAATTTATCAGGGGGTGGTCACCTCCTCTAGGGGGGTCCGGGGGCATGCTCCCCCGGGAAGATTTTTTTTTTAAATGTTGAAGTTAAATGCATCAATCTGGTGCACTTTGAGAGCAAAATTAGGGACTAAATCTATGGATACATCTCTCAACACCCATATGAAACAGAACTGTAAACAGATTTACTTTTTCTTTCAACATTTATTTTGAACAGCAAGTGGAGGCAAAAGTGACTGCACCCAAAATATAGCTAACTAGCCTAAACTCAGTAACAGAATGTGGGCAACACGTTCTTCTCCACAGCCGCACGACCTCTGAGTCAGACGTCACTTCCCCCTTTTCTATCCTACGGGTACAGCCACTCCCCCTGAACCCCGTTTCCCTGCCACCCCCCCCCCCCCCACCTCCCATATGCAAGCCCCTCCCTCTGAACCCAGGGCTCGCTACAATACTGTATACTGTATACACAGTGGTGTAGTGGGCGTTGGACGCGGGGGTACGCCGTACCCCCACTTATTTGGAGCATGATCTTTTTTTTAATAGTCTAATAAATATAAAATCATTGCCAGTGTTATCAGTTGCAAGTGTGTATTTGTTGGCGGCGAGCTGGGGGTGTGTCACTGACACACCCACGGCGAGCCAGCACGCCGCCTGACGATTTTGCGGCAGCTCTTTCCCTCAAGAACACTAACGAAAAAGCTCTATAATGGCAGGCAAACATTTTTTACTTGACTTATTTTCTAAAAAGAATATAATTCACAAGAAGAAAGAGGCTAGCAGCACCGAAGCTACAAGTGAAGCTGCTAGTAATACAGTGCTGTCTGCTTATTTGCAATGTAGGCTAGGCCTAATCAGAATAATTTCAAGTACAGATTCAATGGTGTTTGCATAAGTAGGCTATATTTTTCGTTTCGTTTATTTAATAAGTTAATTTCAGGACAACTTTGGGAATTTTGTTTGTTTATGAGAGAGAGAGAGAGAGAGAGAGAGAGAGAGAGAGAGAGAGAGAGAGAGAGAGAGAGAGAGAGAGAGAGAGAGAGAGAGAGAGAGATTATGCAATTTAGGACTATACATTGTTTATGTAATTTATGTGCCAGTGTGTCCATGGTTTTGAGTCTGTGTGTGTGTTGAGCGCCTAACTAAAGTAGGACTAAGCATACCGGTAGTTTCTGTGGACCTGTCTGCCCGTTTTGTGAGTGCACTGTGCGCATGCGCACTTGTGTGGCATTGTTTGGGATTACCTAATTAAAATAGCGTCCCCCCAGTAAAAAAATCCCCACTACACCACTGTGTATACACAAAAACGCTTTTACGCTTTGGAGCTTCAATGGACAGCTTCCCCCCCCATCTATGTATATACTCGCATTTTAGACTCTGTTACTAACTGTATATCTGTAGACTTGGTATGTCTTAAATGTCCGGTTAGGATGTATTAGAACGAAATCTAAAATGAAAATTGTAAATAAGCAATCTGTATGTAAAAAAACCACCTGTATGTAAATTGTAAATAAGCCATCTGTATGTCAAATATGTCTTATATGTCTTAAATGACATGATGAATTGGAAATGGGGGACCCTGATGTAAACAAGACGAAAGTCTTTCTCTGGTCTGCATCCCCTTAACAATTGTATGTTTTGAGCTGTACTGTACTGTACCCAATATACAAGCTGTTAATAATCTTTTCAATCAATCAATCAATCAAAGCTTGTTTATCTGGCTATCTGTAAGCAACTGCCAGCTAGGTCTCTCAGTCACTCACTCCTGATCATTCACTGCACAGTGACAGCTGCTATGGGCCTGATGTGTGAAAGTGAAACTATCTGATAGATAGAACAGTAACCCTATCAAAACGCCTATCAAACACCCCTCCAGGGAGTGGGCGGAACACTTACAAATGTGGGCCTGTAGGATTTAGGTAAGCAAAAAAAAGAAAGAAAAAGGGAGTGGCCGGAACACTTTTTTTTGTTTACATTTTCTTTTTGGCCCACCGGCCCACGCACAGCACCGGCCCACCGGGAAAACTCCCGGTATTCCCAATGGCCAGTCCGCCCCTGGTGCAAAGTAACTACATTTTAATCAAGTACTGTAATTAAGTACCATTTTGAAGTAGGCTACTTATACTTTGCTTGAGTAGGCTATTTACATTATTTGCTACTTTGTACTTCTACTCCACTACAGTTCAGAGAGTGTACTTTTACTCCACTACATGTATTTGATACCTTTAGTTACTTTCAGATCTGGATGAATGATGTGAAATCTAACCAAGTGTTGAATCAGACTTTAGTTCCACCTGGAGTAAATCCACCAGCTACCCTGCAGTCTACAAAGTCATTCAAACTAGCTGCACCTTTACCAGCTTTGATAACACTTTCATGATCAATCATTATAAAACATATCATATATATTATTCTGAAATGGACCAATCTGCACAATGACTACTTTTACTCTTGCTACTTTAAAACACTAGAACCGCCAGGGGTCACTGTATACCTAAAACCGCCAACGGGTAAAGTTTACCCGCTATTAGAATGCATTGATTTTCAAGGTAGGCCCTACAATGTTCTTTTATTTATCATACTAGAACACAGGGTTAACAGTGAGTTTTGATCGCACAGTGATGAAACTTATCCCAATAGAATCTGTGGACTCTCAGCTTTCATATATCTAGTGTGCAGATAGCATGAAGTATAAAATATTGCTAAAAGTGTCGCTCAACACACACACAGACTCAAAACCATGGACACACTGGCACATAAATTACATAAATAATGTATAGTCCTAAATTGCATAATCTCTCTCTCTCTCTCTCTCTCTCTCTCTCTCTCTCTCTCTCTCTCTCTCTCTCTCTCTCTCTCTCTCTCTCTCTCTCTCTCTCTCTCTCTCTCTCTCTATCGATCTATCTATCGATCTATCTATCTATCTATCTATCTATCTATCTATCTATCTATCTATCTATCTATCTATCTATCTATCTATCTATCTATCTATCTATCTATCTATCTATCTATCTATCTATCTATCTATCTATCTATCTATCTATCTATCTATCTATCTATCTATCTATCTATAAGGAACCGCAGAAAACAACAGGCGTTGCTAGAGCAACACGTCATGTTTATGTTTACGCGCAGGTCAATAGCGCGAGAATCACTGCCTTTTCTATAAGGTAAATATTACCCGCTGGCGCTGATGGGTATAAATGGGAATTTGTTGGACCATTTTTTCAATCTGACCTCATATTGACAATTTTTAACAACAGAGGGTGCTACATAACACACTTTCAGGAAAAGTCACAGACTGGGAGGCTTTAATGTTTTATTGAAAAATAAAACAGTTGAGGCTCCCTCCGCAAGATGAGGCCCCCTCCGCGAGGTGAGGCACCACGCAGTCTGCGTGATCTTCCTGTAGGGAGGGACGGCCCTGAGTACAGTAGGCTACATGTAGGCCTACAACAGACTTGTTACGTGCCGTAGTGGGTGCTTGTAACAGGTACATGTGTTTAACTAGGCTACCAGCTCTCCCCTAATAACAATATACATTGTACTTAGTTACTTTACACCACTGAGGTAGGTTTTATGAATCCGGGTCAGTCATGTTCAACCACAGCTAACAATAACATCTACATGATGGTTGATGGAACCCATCATTTTTTCTATAATCTTTTTAAATGTCTATGTGATTTCAAATGTTTTGCCAGAGATACATTTTTTAACATTTCAAGTAGGCTACTTTAAGCGGGGAAAAAAAGAAATAGGCTACCTCCTTTGGGAAAAAGCTAAATATATGGTATTTAACATGAGCACTGTTACATTTTTGTCCACACAAAACAACTATAAAAATAGACTCTGTAATAGCTTGAGTGAGTTAATTATTACACATACAAATTCCCAGTCCACACAGTTTAACATCACATTTAATTCAATTCTCTTTCTGTGCATAACATGTTGGTGAAGCTTCATGGATTTGAGTCCGTTATAACCACCGCTGGGATGAATCCCCCATCATTACTCAATCATATAGCCTAGATGTGTGATTTGGTAAAGAGACAGTTCAGTGAAGTGGGAATTTCTGCGTCTCCCACCAGAGTCATACAGTTATACAGTAATCGTTTTTGTTTTTGGTGAAGTGTGAAGGCTGGCTAAACTTTTGTGTGTGTCTACGGGATCGAATGTCAATCTTTGTCTGAAAAGAGGCCACACTCTCACAACCCCCGTTCTGGAGCCTGCTCTCCATTTTTCATTGATTAGATTTGTTTCGCTAGTCAATATTAGCATCCCAACTAATACCACGTCTAATGTGAATTACAGATACTCCTTGCAAACCAAGCTTAGAAATTAGGTTCACTGTGATAACATAATCTCACTGATTTCACTACTCCAAACATGTTTACTTACTTGCTTACTTACTGTTTGGTTCTTGCTGTAAAATACAAGA